GTGGAGGTGGTGGAGGTAGAGGTGGGGTAGAGTGGGGTGGGTCAATTATATTATATTACAGTTAAATATTTAATTTAATAGATTAATTGTAAAATATAATTAATTAATTCATGGAAAACCTGAGTTTTGTAAATTTAAACATTGGGGTCTGATTTTTTATTTCGTGAAAAATAGTCTCTAACCTATGAGTTTTCCCCCAAGTCCGTAGGAATTTGAGCCTTTAATCACGGGTTTAATGGCAATATTGCTTATTACAGGTTTAACACTAAATTACGAAATTGTGATAACGATGTCCCATATACGGATACGATGGCAAGCTTCTCACCTCCTTATATTGTACTTATATTTCATATCTAAGCTTGCCGGCCCATGTGCAGAGAAGGCTGCCTCCGAGACTATCGAAGTCTCGAAGGTCGAACAGGCGCCCATTACATTTGGTATCAGAGCAAGTCTGCTCCGAACATTACGTTGTAGTTACCTAAGAACGATGGCTTGCATACCTGCGAAAACGATTTTGGGACTATCCAGCTTAGACAAATTAGGCGAGCAAGCAAAATTGAGGATGGAAAGCTTTGATGACGATAGAAGTAGGAGCATGCGTTATACAGTTTTGCCTATACAAAAACGTTTGTTTCGTAGAGTATGACAAGGTGTTGTAAAGGAAATCAAATGTGGGGTGTTGGATGCTTCGACATGCGCAATGGCAATGCGGCCAGATAAGCTGTCCATCCGAAGAACCAAAGCAGAGGTGCAAAGGTGCGGTTGGTGTCGAAGGCGTCATGTGCGGGTTACTGCAGGAAGAGATACAAGGGGCATCGTAGGCATCCGCACATCTGGGGGATGGTGCTGCAGCTGTGGAATTTTCGAATCCACTGGCATGGAAGGGACTGCAATGTTGAAATTACGTGAAGAGGAAAAGCACTCGTTCCGCTACGAGGGCGTTGGCAAATTGAATGGGGAGTGAGTCACATGCCTAGAAAACTTCCCTACCCACGTGGCATGGCAAGATTCTTTATTGCAGATTTAATGTTAAATTATCGAAAGTATACTAACAACGTCCCATATATAAGTATGATGACAACCTTCACACCTTATATTGTACTTATATTTCATACCTTAGATTGCCGGCTCATGTGCAAGAAAGGCGGGAGCCTTGAGGGCCAAACAGGCAGTCCATTACACTTCGATCCTATACACCACCTCCGAATGTAAACAACTTTGAAAGATTTTAGAAGTTTAGGACCGTTGCCAACAAAGCCCCCAAAGCATTTTAAAACTTCAGGCGAAAGCTTATACCCGCAAACTAAACAAAATTTTGAAAATAAAATAAATATTCTACCCCTCTACATGGAAATTGAACTTTAAGCTTTTATTAAATATTTTCTCCTTTCGTCACGAACCCCTAAACGAGACTTAACTCCTACTTAAAATGTAGATAATTAAATGTTACAAACAAGCTTCTTACTATCATATTATAAAATTAGCATCAACATTCATCAATACATTTCTTCAGTTCCTGTAATAGTTAGTACAATGTAAAACAATTAATCCTGCTCAAGTCTTCAAAAGCGTAGCATTTAAGAATTATTCGCACAAAATTGCCAAGGAAGCTATCATATTTGATTTTTATTTTTTTTTTCTCAAGTTACAGAGAAGTTTAGCAGAATGTGAGAGCATACTCAAAAAGTGCACGAGCATGCCCTTAAGATATATGCAGCTTCAACTATTAAATAGTGATGGTGAGAGTTTGCAGCTTCTTAAGAAAAAAAAAATGCTTGTGTTCAATGTCCATCGCCATCAAACGCAGTGGCTGGTCCTACAATAAATAGAGCTCCTTGATAAATAAACTTCAGCTTGTGGGAACTTCTAAGCGAAAACGAATATGCCTTTCTCTGAGTTGGCCATCCTTTTTGCAGCAGCAGAACCAACAATTCTCTCAAGCTAAATGTCACGAAGTCATTAAATTAAAATTGTTTGATTCCACTAAATTTATCGCAAAGATGGATCATATTAGGTTAGAGTGGAATAAACAAGAAAATAGGCGAGACAAGAAAGATTGGAGTGCACTAATCAAGTAAA